ATTATTATTATTATTATTATTATTATTATTATTATTATTATTATTTTAAAGGTTCTACCTTTCCACCACGACTCCTGCCATCCTTGTTAGGGTAGGTTGTATCTGTTGGACTCTCTCCCCTCCTCTTTCAGGCTCTGTGTTGCGGCTACGCCCCTCTCGCTCCTCGGCAGCGGCAGTAGCAGTGTAGTAGTATCTCCTCCTGCCGCGCCGCGCCGCGCATTGCTTCAGCTCGCATTTTGTGTCACGGTGCCACCGGGCGAGAAGCGACACACTACTGTTGCTGCTGCTGCTGCTGCTCCTGCGCGTCAGGGGGGATATACCCGTCACCATCCTTTACTGTCAAAGCGACATCCCTCCGTGGGCAATGACATTTGCAGATTGAAGTGGGAATACAAGATCACAACAGCAAAAATGACGGTGGACTTTGAAGAATGTATAAAAGATTCGCCCAGATTCAGGTAAGACTCCATATCACAGGGTACATCTCAGCGGTGCGCAAAAAAAAGGCACACCTTCTTTTGTATGACTGAGTAAAAAAAAAAAAAAAATGAAAGAAAGAAGGAAAAAAAAACTTAACTCGTGTTTTTTTTTTTTTTTTTTTTATGTAGTGCTTTCAACAATTAGAATGAAAGGATGCCTCGCACATGTGCAACAAAAAGATGGCGTTTCTTCTGTCCATATGTCTGTGTCCTTCTGATCAGATTTTCAGGCCTTGGCTGAAAACGTCTAATAAGATCATGCAGAATTTATATTAACTTAAGATGTGTTTGTTGGAATGCTCTTAGTGGCTGTGGTGTCTTCTGTGGTCTGTTGTTTGAATGTGGGCTAATTAGCTCAGAATTTATGAGAGGCTATGGCCAGACACAGACAGGATCCATGTTGCTTTCATGCAAAATCAAATTACAGTGGCTCTCCTTCAGCCTGTATGTACATTATGCTGTGATATGTGGGGCTCATTCATTGTGACAGCATGAGCAGATCCTGCTGTGTGAGAGCGTTGCAGCGTGGTATACGGTGTGGGTGCAGTCCTTTCGTCTTGTTCATGCTGAAGGTTGCGGTCACAAACTGTGTTAAGTCTGGACTGTTTGAAGGAAGGGTAGATGCTCTGGCAGCGGCAGCACTGGCGGCCAGGCTGAAAGAGGCAGCGGGAACGGAGCTCATCTAGCAGCCAGGCACACATCCAGATGTTCACCTCCATCACTCCCGGCTGTCTCGATCCACGTGCCAGTCTGTGGGGTCCAGCGGGGAAAATGTGGAGAACTGTACAGGCCATGGAGCTCCAGTTTATCCCCAGGTACATCAGTTCTTCCTGAAAAGATTTGTTTTTCAGATCACACTGCTTTGTTGCATTGTTCCCTCCATCTTTTATCTCTGCTCATCAGCGTCTGGTGCCAGTTTGTTCTCTTGATCTCCAGCAGTTGTTCCCACTTGCTTTCTCGTTTTGTGACTTGCAAACTATAGAGCAAATTTGGGAGGCAGATGCCCAACCTGCTGATTAAGTCTTTCTTAAGTGTTTATGGATGACTCAGACAGTAGTTCAAGGAAAGAAGCAGAGCACTTCCGTGTTTTCCCCCTGCTGCTGTACTTTCCCATATTCTTGTGAAGAGAGTATTTGGAAAATTCCACAAAAGCCAAAGGAAACCGATGTGGTTGCTTCACTGGATCACAGGAGCATGTACCATACCATAATTATAATGAAGTTGGTGAGCAATCTGACATCTTTTACATTTATGAGGCCTTAAATAAGTAATATGGTGATAAAGTACAGTAATTTGGCCTTATTGTAAAGTTAAATCCTAGTTTTGATTTATTTCTTTATGATGTGATGATTGTTCTCCTGATAAAGCAAGAAACTCTTATGATTCCAGTTTCCTGTTTTTGTCTGAATATTCACTTTAAAACACTGCAGTTCTGGCAAACGTCACTTTTTTCAGATTTTGTCATGGTGCAACCAAAAACAGTTATGAATTTTTCTGCTTTTCTTGTGATTGACCAACACAAAGTAGAGCAGTACAGTGAAGAGTAAGGACAATCTTGCATGGTTTTCAGATTTTTTGCTAATAAACATCTGAGAAGCATTTGGAAACGCCCCCTTTTACTCTAACACCCTTGAACAAAATCCTTCTCTGTCTTCAAAAGTCACATCTGTAAAAACCTGTTACAATTTTTTTTTCAGTGTAAAAGCAGCTGTTCTGCGAAGGCCTTACAGATTTATTAGAGAATGCGAGAAAACAAGAAAAGCTTAACAGAGACCAAGCAACACATGAGACAGATCAGAAAAAGTTGTGAAGAAGTTTAAAGCAGGGTTAGGTTATAAAAAAAAAAAAAAAAAAAACCCCAAGTTTTGGTGAAATCAAGATTATAGAGTTTAGTTCAGTTTGTCATCTAAATATGAAGAGTATGGCACAACTGCCCAAACAGGCCTCTCCGCATAATCCAACAAACAATAATTAGAGAATTATAGAACGCTTTGAGTTGATCTATCGCATAAAAACCGGTAAAGTTTGTAGTCAAAATTAGAAAAGGTTCATACATTTTTTCAAGGTGTTGTAAGTCTGGAAAAACTTATCAGTCTGTGAGCTAAATCAAGATTACTTGTGCAGATATGAAAAAGAAAAAAAAAAAAAAAAAAACAGCTTCCAAGGAGAAATGCTTCACTTGTCAGATGTCAGGATATTGTGGTTCAACACGTACAGCCCGAAGCCAGAATTGTCCAATGAGTGTCTTTAGTTGAACAAATACCTTGGGAAGTAAGTTCAGTGAGAGGGAAGACACTCTGGACCATTAAGAGTTTAAGCTCGGCCGCAAAACGGTTTCACAAAATCTCCATAATCCCAGAAAAAAAAAAAAAAAAAAAAATCTTTTAATCTTTTTAAAAGGAATACTTGTTCTAAAAACAGCAGCCGGCCTGTTTTTAAGTCCTGCGTGACACAACCAGGTAAATAAAGTCAGCTGCTGCAGAACTTTCCATTATATTTATTTTTACTCTCATCCAACTTTCTTCTTTCTCCTTTTGTCTTCGCTGTGTCACTCTGGGGAAACGCGAAATTAAAGAAACCGAGAAAACCAGTCCTGTCTGTCTTCCTCCTCGTGAAGTTTAAAGAGCTCACATACACCCTGATGCTGCAGGTCTGAACTTGTACGTGTGCCATAGATGAGGAGAAGATTAAGGAGCATTTTAGTGACGATTGCGTACTCAAAGCAGGCATCTTTTTGTTCCTGTTTCCTTTATTGTGCCATGCCCCTTATTCAGCAGTCATCCGCTGCATTCATTCTGTTTTGAAAAGATTCCCTCGAACTGTGTCCCTCAGTTCTGTCGTCACCAAGCCGTTGTGATATGATTTCGCTTGAGATACCCAGAAGCTTAGCGCTACGCTTTTAAGAGTAGGCCGTTCATGCGCTTCAGTAAAACACATAAGTGCACGAGGCAAATTTTGTCTCGGCTGTCACTGTAAGCACAGAATGGCCGTAAAGTGGGCAACACAAACACAGGACGCGCTCCAGCTTAATATACAGCAGCGATTCTTCCGTGGAGCGTTTCTGTAAAGCATAATTGTGCCGACAAGAACAAGCGGCATTATATAAGACGTCGACTGAGCCATTCACAGTTAAAATTGGGACATTTCATTGACTGAATCTTTGTGATGAGTCTATTAATACGCACATGGTGGGTGGGAGCTGTGGCCGACCAGCAGCTGCTGAAAGACAGACAACTCAGAGCTGGGGAAAGGAGGGCAGGAGATTTAAGAATGAAGGAGGAGAAGGGCTGCAGAGATAAGAGAATCGGTTTTTGTGTAATTTTTTTTCTGTCGCTTTCCGATCCAAAAGAAGAAGTGTCAGGGGAGCGTCGCTCTGCAGCATGCTCTACATTTAGTGGCACTCCTGGCCAAAAAAGGGACTACTTTTTACAACAAAGACAAAATTATTACAGATAACGTTTGTAGCTGTCTTGTATTAGCAATTAAAATAGTTTGCGTGGCTAGCAGTACTCCAATATAGTGTAGGTTTGTACTCTTTAGGGAATATAGATGGTTAACATTGACGTTTCCAAAAGGCTGCCAATATTTCCAAATTTCAGCATATTTTATGATTAAAAGGAGGTTGAAAGCTCAAGAGAATAAAACGGAGGACTCTAGCTGCATTCTTCATAGTCTTCCTGTTATCTGCTCAAAGTCTTGCTCTCACAGCCTGAATGAACAGCAGGTTTGGCTCCTTTTAGTTTCTTACATCCGTTTTTTCCCCCCCGGCTTTCTTTTTAAGAACCTCTGTGATGCTGTTGTTGACAGTATGGTGTTTTCTTTATAGCTTTGTAGTTTTATGTTTTTATTTTATAAAGCACCTTGCTGCTGATAGGTGCTATACAAGTAAACTTTCATTTGATTTTTTGATTCTGATATAATAAATAGCTAACTTACTGTGTCCTTCTCTCAGAGACCCAAGAAGTGTGTATTTGTGGGACGTCACAAGCTGGGAAATGGCTATTTGCCTTAACTTCATACAATTGAAAAGATAGAAATAGCTGAAAAAAGCTGTTAAGTCTTCATATTAATCATAGTAGTAAGATATACTACTGATCTTATACTATAGCTCTACATTTTTCTACACCTTGTTATAGAACTCGAGCAAAATGTCTAAATTGTGGTACTTTAATAAAAATGAAATTATTTTAAATATATATATATTTTTTTATTTTACCCCCGATGCCAATAGAAATTATTTAATTACCTTAAACGTAGTAGATTTAATCTTTTTTTTTTTTTTTTTTTTTTTTTTTAAATTTACATGAAGATCACCACATGTGTGTTAAGGTGTGTTTCGGCCCTTTT